CAGGATCTATTTGTTCCTTTAAATGTTGTTGGTTTTGAAACACATTATTGTCTATATTTAAAAATTAAGTAAATGTGTTAAAAACAAAGATGCACAATGATAGTTCCTTAATGTGTTAACATGTTGAAGGGTAAAGACTTCTGTACTTTTAGAGCAGGAAATAGTAGGAAAGTGCCTTCAAAATAGAAAATTTTACATTCAATGACTAAAGTACTAATATGAGGATCTACCTTTTGTGGAAGGTTCATAACCATAATTTTACAAACAAAAAAGCATTTTAACTGTTTTGGAGCCCAAACTAGCAGTATTGCAATGCTTTGCTAGAGCTGGTAAAATGGAACCAAATCGCCTCTTCAATGGATTTGGTCCCCTTCAACCAGCTGTAGCTATGCATTGATTACTACAAGACAGCCAACGTTTTCATTTAGGAGTACCAGACATGTCAACTAATTTCAACTTTTTAAAATTATTCAGATTGTGCTTTAAATTAAAAAAATAATAATTTGTTACTGTTAATTATTCTGGTAAGAGCCATAGTGGTTAACAGTGTTTATAAAAAGCTTTATGAAAAATGTGTGGATGACTTAAGGATTACAAATAAAATAATTTTACTTATTTATGGTCTCTTGGTATTGAATTTCTTACCCTCTGGAAAAGAAATGGTAAGGAAATGTAGACTAAGCTGAATAATAATTAAAAAAGAACTTCCTTCAGAGGTAGAAAATACCTAGGAAGGTTACCTGATATTCCACACTGTGGTTCACATGGACATATTTTAAATTAAAGAAAAACATAACATTACATAAAATAACACTCTAGAAATGTTGGATCAGTATCTTCCATAGAATTAGCATTTAATTTTACTGCTATTTACTTGAATATTGATAGGTAACGTAAAAAAGATGATGATACTGAAGAATATCTTGTGAAGAGACAAACAGTTAAGTATCTAATTTTTCCAACCCTGAACTATCTTAATCCTCAAAAACTAAAGAAAATGCTAAGCATTGCTATCTTTTACTCTCCATACTTGTTTCCTCAGTTGTAAAATAAAGAACTCTTGTAATAATAACGTTCTATGACTCTCCTCACCCCTTCTTTCTTCTTTGTCCATCAAAAAACAAATATACATATCAAGCCTCTCTCTCAATGGAATGAAAATGAAAGAGGAGGAAAATGACAAGTGATCCAACATTCTCTAATTTTCTTATTGACTGCAATAAAACTATAGGTAACAATGTTCTTTAATAAAGACAAACATTCTAGCAATTAATGAAGGGTTACGGAGGGCGAGCAGTAGTTTAAAAACCAAGGTGTTTACATAATCCTCAACTCCTGACCACTCACCTATTTCAAAGCGAAGATCATCCCGTAAAAGAATGTGGACAAAGGAAGGCAAATGTAAATGAGTCTTATCCCTTCAAGTTAACAGGCCTTCTGGCTTGTACTAATTACACCTGGCAGTCACATTAAATTATTTATGTATTACAAAGCACATAGTGTTTCAGAGTAGATGCATGGACACATATGAGAGAAAATGGGCATACTGTAAGTATAGTACCATTTGATAGTCTCTCAGCTACTTTTTATATATAGCACTCAGTACATTTTTGCCCATTCTAATTTGAAGTAATTGCTCTGTTTAAACTCCTAATAGTTTCTCTACAGAATTTATTTTGTAATTGGTCATATATACTCTAGTGATATCTAACACTGTCCTGACTGTCAAATTAAGGTTAACATTTACTGAGTCCCTACTATAGCCAAGGCATTGTGGGGAACATACAGATGAATATGAGTGCCCACAACTTTAACAGAAAGGAACATAAAAATGCACATCCTAAGGGACAGCACAAAGCATATTTATTATAAGTACAGTAAAATAAGAACAGGGAACAAGGAAGTATAGGGCAAACAGAAAATAGTTTCAATGATGAGATCTAGGAGTTCTGGAAGAAAGGTGGTTAAGATAAAGAAGGGGATAAGGGCATCCTGATGGGAAAAAATGCTTATGTAAATGAAGGAATAAAGCAGAGAGACTATCTTAGGAAAGGAGAGTACTGCAGTACAATGCAGCTGAAGAGCAAGGTGGGCAGAGGGCTTTCATTTAGTGAGAGAGAAAGTTAGAAAGACTCAGGACACACTGGAAATGGGTTTGAATGCCAGGTCAAGGTATACAGATTTTATTCTACGTACAATAGAAAGCAACTAAAGATTTGGGAAGAGGAAAGGGGAGCCATTCGATCTATATTTTTAGAATTATAATTTGGTAGTTGTATGAAAGTTATCAGATAAAACTAAAATCAGGGAGAAAATTTAGAAAGATACTATAACAGTCTAGGTAAAAGTGGTCAACAATTAGGTCAGCAACAACGGAAACAGAAGGAATGGAATGGTTTGGAAATAGCTGCAGAATAAAGGAAGCTTTAGAACTAATTGGAAGTTCAGAATTAGTGACAGAGTAGTCAAAGTTAACCCTAATCAAAGAGGCAGCAAGGAGGTTGACATATTAATACATTCTTAGTTATATGATTCACTGTCAATATGTTTCAGTCTTGCCTCACATACAGCCCATATACAGAAAAAGTAATATAAAGTGGTTAACAGCTATGAATCCAAAGTCAGACAGACCTTGCTCAAATTCTAGCTACTCCACTAGTCAGTGCATGGCCTTGAATAAGCAAATTCACCTCTTTATAAGTCTCGTATTCTTCTTCTATAAAATGAAGATATTAAAACCTGCCTCAAAAAGGCTGCTCAAAGAATTAAATGAGATAATGCATATAAACCAGTTAGTAAAGGCCTGGTATTTAGTTAGTGATATCATCATCATCATCTTCTATTTGAATGGCACCTACATATAATACTATTTTTATCTCCTTCAAAATGCCAAAGGATGCAGTGTTCCAATATTTGTAATCTGAAAAATAAATCAAGACATAACCTAAAATAGTCATTTATCTTATCCTACATTATATCCATTATTATGGGTACCAACAAGCAATACTAACAAAATCCTTTTATTCTCTTTGCTCTCCCTCTAATGGTGATCATAAAAAGCTAAAAGAATAAAAAATAGCAAAAAATCAGAAGAAAACATGATATAAAAATGCAGTATGGAACCAAACAATAAGAATTCATGGTGACTATAGTTATAATACTGTTATGTATATTTGAAAGGTGCTAAGAGAGATCTTAAAAGTTCTCATCAAAAGAAAAAAATTTGTAACTATGTGTGGTGATGGATGTTAACTAGACTTACAGTGATCATTTCATAATATATACATATATTTGATCATTATGTTGTACACCCGAAAGAAACATAATGTTATGTCAATTATATCTCAATTTTAAAAAAAGAATTCAGAATACATTAAATTATCAAAACAAACTTAAAAGTGAGTATTTCTCTCAGTCAAAACATGTAGGTTTATTTGGTACAGCATGGATGGGCCTAGAGAATATTATGCTAAGTAAAATAAGTCAGTCAGAGAAAAACAAATACCATATGATTTCTCTTATATGTGGAATCTAAAAAACAATATAAACAAACAAAACAGAAACAGACTCATAGACACAGAGAACAGATTGATGGTTGCCAGAGGGGAGGGGGGTTGGGGGACTGGGTAAGAAACGTAAAGGGATTGAGAAGTACAAATTGGTAGTTACAAAATTATCATGGGGATGTAAAGTACAGCATAAATAATATAATCAATAATATTGTAATAACTATGTATGGTGCCAGTTGGGTGCTGGTATATATTGAGGGAAACACCTATAAAGTGTATAATTGTCTAACCACTATGCTACACATCTGAAACTAATAAAAAATAATATTGAATGTAAACTTTAATTTAAAAGTTTTTAATAAAAAATTTTTAAAAAGAGATGTAGGCTTTATTCAACTATAAACAGAAGACATCTGATGCAGAATTTTCTAAAATGCTTCTCAGGGCCCTGGTCAGTGTAGCTCAGTTGGTTAAAACATCATCCTGGGCACCAAAAGGTTGCCAGTTTGATTCCTGGTCAGGGCACATACCTAGGTTGCAGGTTCAATCCCCAGTGGAGGTGCATATGGGAGGCAACCAATTGATGTTTCTTTCATATATCGATGTTTCTCTTTCTCTTTCTTTCTCTCTCTCTCTCCCCTCCCCTTACCCTCTAAAATCAGTAAAATATATCCTCAGGTGAGGATTAAAATAAATAAAATGCTTCTCAGGTAAAGTTGTTCCCAAAAATTCATTCATGAAAAGTTCTAGGTTGTCCTAGCTAGTGTGGCTCAGTTGGTTTAGCATCATTCCATGCACCAAAAGGTTACTGGTTTGCTTCCAGGTCAGGGCACATGCCTGGGTTCCAGGCTCGATCCCCAGTAGGGGGCATGCAGGAGGCAGCTAATCAATGTTTCGAGGTTAAAGCAAAGTTAAAGCATTTTCTTTTTCTGTGGGACTCTGTCAATATTTCATGAATTCTGTGATTTTCCAAAAGTCTTTCTCAAACTTTAACCAGTAAACACTTTTTTTTTCAGTAGGCCACCTAAAATTGTAACTATCATTGCAGAACACCATATTAGAAATTATATAACTAATTATATTATTAATAAACAATTAGGTAACTTGATAGTTATTTAACCACAAGTTTAAAACAGTAATTACCATGCAAATGGATTAACACGAATTTAGAGGATATCCTGAGAATGGTTCTGAAGAAACATAAATCTCAAAATGCATTGCATTCTAATAAAAACTTTACAAGTGAGTATTCCTGATACTTTAAATCCATATTGAATATATATTTAAATAGCCATTTCATACTTTGTTTAATAACCCAAAGAATTATTATAAAATTTATCTACTTAATGAAGACATAATTTCCACAGACCTTAAAATGATTTAAAGTACTAAAATAAGCCAAAATTCTTTTATCAGTATCAGAAAAAGAGAACCAGCAACAGAAAAATATTTTTAAACTACATATAAAATGGTAAAAGGTGACATCTTTACCTGGGATTTCCTCTTAGTGCAGCATGGTGAAGGGCATTAAATCCATTATTGTTTGTAATGGTAACATCTGCTCCAGCTTCCAGAAGGACTGCCAGGATATCATCACGTTTCTTACTTATTGCATCATGAAGAGGGGTATCACCTTCAGAATCCTTTAAGTTTAAAAAGATTTTCATTAGTTCTTTTTCAATCAATCATCACATGTAATTATTAATACTTAAAATGAACTACTAAACAGAGAAAGAAAAACAGAAGCCATATCCAACAACCATCAATAAAACATACTGTGTGTTAAATTTAAAAAATGGAGGCAACAAACAGCATTATAATAAATAAACATACTCAATCTGGATGGTAAACACAATAAATACGCTATAGCTTTCCAAAGGAAAAACAAAATCAAAGAAATAAAATACCCTCAAAATAATTAAGCAAATATCAAAAATAAATGAGGTAGAAAAGCGGACAAAAAGTTCATTAGTGTAAAATGGCTTGCAATACCACATTCCTACCATTAACTGTTGTACCCTGAAACTCCATACCAAACCTACACCAGTCTCAAGGCCCATAGCAATGAATTAAAAGTCAGTGGTTCTCAACCCTGGCTGTACTTTAGAATGCACTGGAAGCTCTTAAAATCCTGATACTCAGGCTATTTTTCAAATCAACTAACCCAGAATCTCTAGGCGTGGGACCCAAGCATCAGTAGTTTTGCAGAGTTCTCCAGCTGAATATATTGTGCAGTCACTGTTGAGAATCATTACTCTATATATTATCAAGGAGCAGGAAGGAGAGTAGTTAACTCAAAGTGAAAACAAATGTAAAAGAAACTTTGGCAGTCTCTATCTTTTTTTCAAGCTGATTAATTTCTTCATTGATCAACCAATGTAGCAATAAGTTGTTATTCATTATCAGTCATCTGTGTAAATGGGTAATTTAGAATTCATTTTATAGTTTTATAAATACTTTCAGTAAAGCCATATATAGCCTAACCTAGGGCATATACCACAGTTTCCAAATCCAGCCTGCCCCCATTTTTGTAAATAGTTTTATTTACATAGTTACACACATGCATTTATGTATTATCTATGGCTACTGTCATGCTACAATGGCAGAACTGGATAATAATGGCAGTAATATAAATCATATGAAAGCCAAAAATATTACCTGGCCTTTTTAAAAACTATTTTTTATTGGTTTTTAGAAAGAGAAGAAGGGAGAGGGAGAAAGACAGAGAAACATCGATGTGAGAGCATAACACTGATCAGCTGCCTCCTGCACACCCTCTCCCGGGGGGATCAAGCCCAAAACTGGGGCATTGCCCTGACTGGGAATCATACCAGCAATCTCTTGGTGCATGTGACGATGCCCAACCAACTGAGCCACACTGGCCAGGCTTAACTGGACTTTCACAGAAAAAGTTCACCAATCCCAGGCATATATTCATCCACTTATGTAAGAAATTCCTAACACAAATTAAGTCCAACAATCCACCTTCCATCCTCCTATGGCACTAAAAATTCATGGTCTCCAACTTGAGATGGGCTCTTAACCTGGTTGGAGTAAGCTACTACAGGCCCTAATCTATACTGCCTTTTGCTCCCCACAATAGCTATTCCAAACCTTCACCACTCTTCTCAATTACTCTTTCTCTAACAACTACTCTCCACTCACTCTCAACCAGTAACTTTGCCTCCCATTTCAGACAAAAAAAAAGTCAGCAGGCATAAATTCCGTACTTCAACAGTTTAACACCTTCCAATGCCTCCCCCATCTTCTAATCCTGCCATCCACTTAGAAGCCGTCAGTTCTAAAATGGCTGTATCTTGGAAATATTAATCTGTAATAAGCATCTAGCTAAAAAGAATCTCTGATTTAATTCTTCTCAAACCCTCAGTCCCATTGCTCCTGTTCTTCTACACTGCTTCAGAGACCAATCCAATTTAATTCAACTGGTTGCTGAAATTTTGGACGGGAATAATCATTTCTTAGGTGACCCTTGCTTCAAAAATTAGGTCCTATTATAATAAATCCTAAAACCCTATATATTCCCCTAACAGAAAATCTTCTAAGATTGGACTAATGACTACACCAAGACTCTTAAAATACATAAGGCTACAACTACAATAATTTAGATAGCTATGAAGTAATTATTATGAAATGCAGCCTATTACACTTCTTTAAGCTGCCGAAGCCCAATGTTATGATGAATAAAGTTAAATCAATTCAATTCAAAAACTGATATTTTTGCAAGGAAATTTCTATTCCCAACCCTCAATATAAAACAGATCTACTTGACACTTCCTTAAAAAGGCTTTTCTAAGAAGGAACAACTGCCAATTTTATTACATTCTGTACCTTTGGTATCACTATGACATCATATAAAAAAGAATTCTAACAAAGGAACGTTTACCATTGAAGCTAGTACTTCCCTGTAATAGAATCCTAGCAATACCTACAGAATATAGTTCTTTAAAGGTTTTACCTGAAGACTGGGATGACAACCAAAGTCCAATAAAGTCTTCACAACTTGAAGATGACCTTTATTGACAGCAATATGAAGTGGTGTCTGTCGGCGTTTGTTGCGAGCATTCAAATCAGCACTGCCTCGATGTAGAACTTCTATAACAGCACCTTCATCTCCAAAAGCTGCATGGTGAACGGCTCTATCTCCATCTTTGTCCTAAGCAGCAGAATTAAATCTGAATTAGTGAATATTTTAGAAAAAAATAAAACTTAAAGCTACAATAATTCATTAAGAACCAAATTGATGTGAGGAGAAAAAACATTGAATGGAGTCAACAAAATAAGCAGAAATGCACTTGAAAAGTGATTAACTCCGAATATAAATGATGAATCCTGGGTTAATATACAGGGGTGGGCAAAAGTAGGTTTACAGTTGTGAATGCACAACACATAAAGTTTATTCCTGTACTAATATTTCTTATTGTATTATTTGCACTACAACTGTAAACCTACTTCTGCCCATCCATGTATATTATATCAGACATATATTGGACCAATAGTTGTATCAGAAGTAGGTCGATTCTTCATTACTCCTGATTTATCAGCCATAATGGTAAGCCAATATTAGAAAATATTAGAAAAATGCTGACATATAATACAACTACATAAACTTTTTTTCCATTTAAAAAATTTACACAGACTTTTCAAGGACATAAAAATTACACTAACTTTAGTTTGATTTTAAAAAGAAGAAAGGCCCTAGCAGGTTTTTCTCAATGGTTAGAGTGTCAGCCTACATACGGAAGGGTCCCAGGTTCGATTCTAGCCAAAGGCATGTACCTTGGTTGCAGGCTCAATCCCCAGTCCCAGTGGGGGTGTGTGCGGGAGGCAACTGATAGATGTCTTTCTCACATTGATGTTTCTCTCTCTCTCCCCCTTCCACTCTCTCTGAAAAGCAATGGAAAAAAATATCCTCAGGTGAGGATTAAAAAATAAAAATAAAAAGTATATAAAAAGGAGAAAGGATGCCAAATAGTGTGATTTCAATGAGCTTTAAGGGGAGAAATATATCAACATATTAACATTGGTTATCTTTAGCTGGTGAGCATACACTTTTCTGTGTATTCAAGAGAAAAAAATTAAGTACCACTTAAAAAGATAAAAATGAAACACAAACCAGCATAATTTCACACATCCAAAATTCCAAAACTTTTTCAGAGGAATCCAATAAGTATGCTTCACCTTCTGTAATAGGCATATTTCGGAGGAGATGAGAAGTAGAGGAAGACCCAATTGCTTAGATTTTTTTCAAATATAAGAACAACTTTTTAAAAGGAAAAAAAATGCTTGTCCTGCACCATGAATATATTCATTCCATACCAAAAAAGAAGTCTTATACTGCTAGATGCAGATTAAGAAGGATATTATAAGGGTACTATCTTTATTCCATACTCCATCTCAAATTTTAACACCCAGAACTAAGCAAGCTCTAAGACTTTCTCCAGTGTTTCCAAACCCATGATTCTAGCCCCCTGGTGGACTATAATTTTTGTAAGTGGTTTGAAAATCCATTACTTGGGGTAATGGAACTACTTTCCAGAGTTAACACATGTAAGTACTGTTGCAAGTAAATACATTAAAAACAAATGAACAGTTCAACACAATTGAATTCAAAATAGTTTTTGGTCTTTGCATATTTTCTCAAGCAGATATTAAAAGTAAAATCACTCATGTAGAAGTCCACAAAGATTTAACAACCATTCTTAAAAAGGTAGCAAACCATGATGCAGGAATACTTCTACCTTACTAATATTCCAGCTAAACCAGATTAGGAGTTTTTGTTACCTGTCTACTTTGAGCATAAAGAAACTGGCAAACACCACATGAAAGATTTAAGATTCAATACTTGTGCCTCTGAGCAACATTATATTTAAACAGCCCAGAATAAAAGAAAAATGCTTTCTCCAAAAAAAAGAAATTGAAAAATTGTTTTTATGTATGTGTATCACTAACTTTTCTAGTAACATATTTCAATATTTCAGAATCTTAGATTTAAGATCTTACTAACTTCCAATCTGGATTCACTTTCTGTTACATTTTTTAAGTCTACCTGGTGGTACTCCTTTCTTAAAAAGGAGAAAATCAATCCACTAACACTCACTGACTAAAAACAGGAACTATTTATGAAGTGTACCATTATATTTATGGTTGTTAGAAAACTGCTATAAAAACACTTTTATGCAGGTCACATCAACAACTTATGTAAAAAAAACTTAAAAATTTAAAACTCTAACATATATATATATATATAAAGGAAATTTAAAGAACTTGGAAAACACATACACATACTAGAAAACAACAATTAAATTTATTTCCAGGCTTTCCTTCTATTTAGAAAATCTCAGTTGTACAAAGACCTTAACTTACAGACTTTGAATATACCTAAAACATACAGCTGTATGTTATTCAGAATATCATTATTCTGTCTCTAATGCTGGTACCAAATGAGATTTTGAGGGACGTTATTGCTGACCTCCAAAGGTAACCTAAAAGGATCTGTGAAGGGGCTTCAAATTAAATCTAAAACTGATTTTCCCCTGGCTAGGTCGTTCAGTTGGTTGGGGTGTCATCCTGTGCACCAAAACATGGTGGGTTTGATTCCCAGTCAGGGCACATGCCTAGGTTGTGGGTTCGAACCCTGGTCAGGGTACGTATGGGAGGCAACTGATCAGTGTTTCTCTCTCTCTCTTCCTCTCTCTAGAATCAATAAAAATCTATCCTCAAGTGAGCATTAAAAAAACAAAACAGAACAGCCAGGAGTGGCCCAGCAGTTGAGCATCAACCTAGGATCCAGGCAATAAGGGTTCAATTCCCAGTGAGTGCACATACCTGGGCTGTGGGCTGCAGCCGATCAATGACTCTCTCATCATTGATATTTCTATCTCTCTCTCTCTCCCTTTCCCTTCCTCTCTCTGAAATCAATAAAGATACTTTTTTTTTTAAAAAAGTTTCCTTAAAAAAAACAAAAAACCAAAAAACTGATCTTAAAAACAAAACAAAACTGATCTTGGTTCTTTCTACCCTCTTGCCCCCTTCTCTTTCCTCTCAACCCTCCAAAACCTGCTCTTGTTCCAGTCTTCCTATCTTAGCTGATAGAACCATAGACCATAATGTTAACAAAATCAGTATCTGTAGGTCATGCTCACCTACCCCTGAGTCCCTATAGGTAAGTACCAAATTCTATGGTTTTTACTCAAGTTATGCTCTATTTATTTTCTCCAATTCTGCCACTAATTCATTCAGGCCTTCACTCTCACTCACCTGACCTATTGCTCACCCTGCCTCCACTTCATTCTTACCCCGATCTACTCTTCACTCAGCAGATAGAATTCTCTCTCCATAAAACACAAAATTTATGTTTAAAACTCTTTAATGTAACTCTACTATATAAAGAACAAATCTCTTTTTTTTAATTTTATTTTCAATTACAGTTTACATTCAATATTACTTTTTATTAGTTTCAGATGTACAGCATATTGGCTAGACAATCATATACTTTACAAAGTGTTCCCCCTTATAATTCTAGTACCCACCTGGCACCATACATAGTTATTAAAATATTATTGACTATATTCCTTATGCTATACTTTACATGTCTGTAACTACTCAATCTGTACTTCTCAATCCCTTCACCTTTTTCACATAGTCCCCCAACCC